GGGAGTAATAAGCCAGAAGAAGAACAAAAGGAAAGGCTTGGTTAGGAGAAACCATGTTCGTCATTGGAAGTGACTGAGTTCATGCCACGAGGGAGGCTCTGGGAAGGCCACCAGGACCACCTGTTTCTCCAGCCAGACTTCTATTCCCTTGTTTGTGACCTCAGGCTGCCAAATGCAATGGCCGGAGACAGTCGGCTCCACTGTAAGCTTGTGTCCTCAACACTGTTTGAACCGCCTTTACATTTTGCTGAATAGTTCCTTTTTTTTTTTTTGCTCTTGACATGCCTCAACCTTTTCCATCCTCTTCAATTCACTTACTCCCACTTTTCTCATTCTAGACAATGAATGTAGTGTTTCCTTCTTCACAGACTCACGAAAAGATAACTGGGATAATATTCTATCATATAAAACACTGCCTTGATATTTAAAGCTTCCCCTGTCCCTTTCTTCTATGTATTTACCCAATATCCCCAGCAGCCATTTATTTACTGAATAGTAACATTGAACATTTACTATCCGCCATAGACTGTGCTACTCTAAATACGTAATTTCATTTTCTAGTCTGATGTTCAATTATAAATTATTTTACATTCATTGTTCATTGATGGAGATGATGAAAGAGCTATAAAAAAAATGGTAGCATCTAATTCATTCCCTCTTCTTATATATAAGGACATTAAAACCTGAAGATTGTCAAGGTTCAACAAGAAGTCAGTGACAAACTCCAGACTAAAACCCCAGTTCAAGTATCATTATTTTGTTAAGGAAGTTGGTTGCATTGCCCAGCTGTGCCCATTTGTCTCTCTGTGCAGTATTAGAACTCTGCTCCTGGCACCTCTAAGATGATTATCAACCTGAGGGGCAATGGGAAAACTGAGAATAAGCTGCTAACCTGTGTTTTTGGTGATGAGGAAACAACAATATAATTGGAACAAAGACTTCACACCTAGCCTGTAACAATAACATCGAAAATATTTTCCGTATTTCTAAATCTCTTTCTGAACCCCACAACGCACCTGTACCTTAATGCGAGCTTGTTGAGTACCTGGGCACTATCCTTCACACTTGCTCCAGGGGCACAGTCTATCAGCGTGAGCAGACTCCGAGCTCCTGCTGACAGGTCAGGAGCAAAGGGCACACCCTTGCAGGAGGACAATGTCACAAGAGGGGTTATCAAGGTTTTTTATTTGTTTGATTGTTTTTATCCTCACCCAAGGACATTTTTGCATTTATCTTCAGATAGAGCAGGAGGGAGACAGGAGGGGAGAGAGAGAGAGAGAAACACTGAGGTGAGAGACCCATCGATTGATCGCCACCCACACAAACCCAACCAGGGCCGGGGACAAACTGCAACCGAGGTACGTGCCTTAGCGGGAACCAAACCCGGGACTCTCTGGTCTGCAGGCCGACGCTCTAACCACTGAGCCAAACAGGCCAAGGCAAGTCATTGAGGTTTTAACCAAAGAGCTGCCACTGCTCTTTCCTGGGTTAGAGCCTAGCCTGGTGGTCTGTGCTCATGGGTCCCACCCACGGAGCCACACACCCTCTGAGATGCGATGGCCTCATTTGCAGACACAGCTACTACAAGCAGATGTCATGTATAGATATTCTCTACCTCCCAGAGATCAGAAATACCCTTCCTCGGCAGAAGATTTTAAATCTTCAGTGATAGTTTCTATATAATAGAAACAGAGATTCCCAGGGCTTTCACACATGCCTTTTTTTTCTTTTCAAAGGCCTATAAGGAAAATTGAGAGATTAGCACATACTGACCATGAAATTCAACTAGTTTTAATAATTTACAGACTATTATTTATATTTCTATGTTTTAATACCTGAAAATTTCACCGAAGAAACACCCTACAAAGGAGCTTTCTCAGGTACTCTGAATGCCCTCCCTCCCTACTGCCTCTTCCCATCCATCTCTGTGGGTCGCAAGAGGAGCGCAGTTCAAGTCTTTTGCTTTTGCCTTGGACTCATTCATTCATGACACCATATTCTGCCTGATTTCTCGGGCAGTGCCTTGATATTTAAAGCTTTGCCTATCCCAGCCTTCTATGTGCAGGCCTTCAGAAATGCCTTTCAATTTGCCTTTTCAATTCAGACTGATGACCTTGGCCTTTTCCAAGTTCTTTACAATGATCTTGCCTGTGACCCGGAATTCCACACAGCAAACACGATCTCCTGGCCGAACGGACAGGTGTGAACCTACTGCTCTCCGGGGCCATGTTTTATCAGCCAAGATCAAGTCTGTATCTGTGGATCCATTGACAGCTGTTTCCAACTCACTGCCCTTTACCTCCCTTCTCCCCTTTGTGTGCTCTCGGGTGATTCCAGTTAGTCTCTATTCCCATCTTGCCAGGACCTGAGGAGCAGGGCGGAAGGGTGGTGAAGAACATCCTTGTATTTAAAAACTATGCTCTCCTGAGCGCAACTCTGAAATTTTGTACACAAGCTCCTGTTTCTTCCAGAAGACGGATAGAATGATAGTGCCTACATGGTAGGGTTAAAGTCAGTATTTAAAAAAACAATGTAGCCCTGGCCAGTTTGGTTCAGTGGTTAGAGCATCGGCCTGTGGTCCAGAGAGACCCGGGTTCGGTTCCCGCTAAGGGCATGTACCTCGGTTGCAGTTTGTCCCCGGCCCTGGTTGGGTCATGCGGGTGGCAGCCACTCGATGTGTCCCTTTCACATCGATGTTTCTCTCTTCTCTCTCTCTCTCCCTCCCACTCTATCTGCAAAAAATGGAAAAATGTCCTTGGGTGAGGATAAAAAAAAAAGCAATGTTGCCCGGCTGGTGTGGCTCAGTGGTTGAGCGTCGACCCATGCACCAAGAGGTCACCGGTCCGATTCCCGGTCAGGGCACATGCCCAGATTGTGGGCATGATCCCCAGTGGAGGGCATGCAGGAGGTGGGCCATTGGATGTTCTCTCTCATCAATGTTTCCATCTCTCTCTACCTCTCCCTTCCTCTCTCTCCAAAATCAATAAAGAAAAAAAATTTTAAAATAAAAAAGCAATGTAAGTTCTAGCCCAGTGACAAATATATGCTAAGTCCTTTAATGAGTATTAGTGACTGATATTAATCCTGTTACTATTTTAAGGGTTTAAATGCAGCTACTACTAAGCACAGACCTACGTTCTTACTGGACTAGCAGCAATAGAGAATGGCGGGGTGGGAGGTGGGTAACGAGGGAGAGAGGCTGAGCAGAGCTGAATCAACCGTGGCGAAGGTCATTTTAACTGAACTCTTTTTATGAACCTCCTGGAGTGGAGAAAGAAACCTGTGGTCTGCATTCCATTTCCATGAAACAAATTGTTCTATTTATCAGTAGAAACTGGGATGGGACATTTATACATTTCCTGAACAGCCTTATCAATTTCAATTTCAGAATTAACAATACAACTGATAAAACCACCACAAATCAGAGCTTTCTCTGTCCAGAAGTCCTAACTAGATTCATGTCAGCTCTGTTCAGGAGCTTGTACATTTGTCAACAGTCCTGTTGGAAGTGGGGATGGGAGAGAGATGGTTCTGTGCTGATGTGAGTCTGAGTTACAGCTGTTCTGTCCAGTGTATCCTACTGATAAGAACGAACAGTCATCTGTTTCTTTTTGTCTGATTATTGGCGTAATAATATACTGGTCTTCTCTTTTCCCTGTCAATTCCAAAGACATTGTGATTGTTGATTTCCCATCCATTCAACTTTGCATCTCTGCACTCAGAATTTATTGACAGCCTTGACTGAGTTTATTCAGAGAGGAGGTAAAAACTGAAATGGGACATTTATAAATTTCCAGTTCATCTCTTTACCTTCAGTGGCTCACACAGGATATGAACATGCGCTCACTCGCTCTCTCTCTCTCTCTCTCTCTCTCTCTCTGCCTCCCTTAATAGTCAAAGGTCATTTTCTCTACAAATATGATAAACAAAGAAGCAGGCTTATAAGGATCTAAGACAATGTACCTGGAGGCATGCTGAGTATAGTAGATTGTTAAAATGAGACATCCCAGGTAAGAAAAATCAGTGAGCATCATCCCAGTGCACTGGTTAAGAGGGCTGGCTCTGAACTTGGAAGGGTTCAAATCCCATCCTCACAGCTCATTCCTTTGTGATCTTAGGTAAGTTGCATTGGCCTCGATTTTGTATTTGAAAATAAAGATTATAGCAGTTCTTAACTTATGAGGATGCTGGAAGGGTTAACTACATTAATGTATGGACTGTATTTGGCCGACTTATAATACTATTGTTATCATCATTATTATGGTAAAGTAACTACACATTTATGTAAAACAGAATAGATCAGAGGCAACTGAACATTTTGGAATTTAGTTTCTTCCCTTATCATGCAGAGGAATTCTTTGTAGTGTAATGTTTTCAGAGTAAGATATCTTTTTTCCTTCATTTTTTTTAAAGATACTCTTTCTTCTACTAAAAAAACAAACTTTAAAAGAAACTGTCTTGTTTTACACTTTGTCCTCATCCAAACAGCAGAACCATACCATTCTTTTCTGACTAAAGGCACATTTAATCGTGCATATTCAGTGATAGTAAACCTAAGATCCTGACTTTATCTGCAATCTGACTGCTCTTTGGAGGCTGAGACAGTGCAAAACGCCTTCTGGTCATCAGAGGACCAGACCCGGTTCATGCAGCGTACGAGCATCTGCCTCATCCAAACAGCGTGGGACTTTCAGAGCTGCGTTTCCCACGGTAAGGAGACTTGATGTCTCAGCTACTTCGGTACTGTTTATCCCTACCCCTGAAAGAAAGCAGCTTTAGGATCAGCAGCTTATCGACTTTAGATCACCACTTAGGCTGAGCTGGGGCTAAGTCCCTCGGGAAGCACACTGCCCGGAGCCAGCAGGTGTCTGCTGGACAGGAGCTTGGACTGCGTATTGGACTTGAGGGAGCCAGGGACACGGCGCAGCTCGGTCCCCTCCACAGCAAGCAGTAACGGTTCCGTTCAGGGAAAGTCCCGTTCTGACATGCACACTACAGACCTGAGGCCGTAGAGAACAGTCCCGTCGGGATGCAGGCGGATCATGCGGTTCTTGACGGTCACACCGTGCACAAACGACTTCTTGTCGTTCAGGAAGTAGGTGTCGGGCACCCAGAGCTGGTCTGCTACTCGATTGTCCAGAGTTAAGTTTAAAGGTATTACATTATACGACAGCCTCTTATCTCTCCAGGCTTGTTGAAAATACATTGTCAACGTATAATCCTGTGAAAGTGAGCAGAAAAATGCTTATTTTGTACCCAAAACCGACCTGGGAGAAAGGCAAACATTTCTGTATTCACAAGAAAACACATATACATCCCTACTCTGTAAACATATACTATTCCCACACAGGCAAATATGAATGTACTAGACCCACTCTTACTGAGACCTGCTGTGTGTCAGGTACCACCGTAGGGTCTATGGATTCAGAAGGGAAGAGAACACAGCCTCAAGAAATCGATTACACATTACGCAGGAAGAAAAATGGACAGGAATAATTACCTTCACATCAACTCGTCTTTCCCAAAGTGGAACACAGGATTGTTTTAGGTGAGACAAAACAAGTGTAAAAAGTGGTTCATTTATTACAGTGGCAACTGTAAGTTTGTCGATGAAAATCCTAATGGGTCTCATGCAGGTGAGTTTCCCAGGAGACGTGACATTTCCATGAAAACTTATGTCGCTTCCCAGATATGAGCAATGCTCTCTCAGACAGTGTTTCGTGGGAACTTTCATCCCAGGATTATGAATCAGCAGGCTGGGCTCTTTGTTTTTGAGAAACAGTGAGTTGTTGTCAAGGGAAGACGGGCCTCAGAGTCTCAGCATTTCTCAGCTGTGTCCGAAATGGAAATTCATACCATTTCTTTTCACTTCAGTTCCATTAACGATAAATGGGACTTCTAATTCATGCCTGATCTAACCAGAAAATTATTATGCCGATTAAATGCATACCTCAAATGGAATGTGTAAACTACAAAAGCTATATATTATGAATAAAGCTCTTACATATGTATTGTGGCATGTTTTATCCATTAGAAGCCAATGTGCCCAATGTAATTGCTCTCTCACCCTTATTTGGATTACTAAATGAAGGGCCACATATTCATTTAAAAGGATAATTACCTTTCTATTTTAAAATCAGTTCATAATGCCCTACTTGAGAACTGAAAAACACACACACAAAAACCTGGGCATGTGCCCTGACTGGGAATCAAACCAGTGACCTCTTGGTGCATGGGTCAAAGCTCAACCATTGAGCCACACCGGCCGGGCAAAACCAGATACATTTTTGCATGTGTCTATGTTATAAATAGCCTAAAAAGGAGGACATAAACAATATAAGCAATTTATATCGTGTTTGAGAGAACGTATTTAGTGATTTCCAATTCTTGGAGATAAAATGGAATATGTGCATATTATATCTCTATTAGAAGGTAAGGCTACTTAAGCTTCTTTGATGATAAACCCTCTTAAGATGTAGGGGGGATCAGATTGTTTGGATGCTACTGGAGTTTATCAGTCAGCTGAGCCGTGTTTGGAGATAGGAGCTAGTATTGTCTTTGGGCTGCATAGATGGTAATAATGTGAGAGCCTGTGTCATATGCTAACTGCTGTTATTTGTCAGCAAGGCAAGGCCTGCTAAGAAATGCTCCCAGACAGACCCTGGTGATTCTGCTAACTGTCACATCAATTTCTATTTCACTTACTTTTAAGTGACACATCATGGCAATGAATGTCAAGAATGGAAGAAACTGCTGAATCTAAATAACTGGACTTAAACAGAGTGGTTCCGTGTTCCATCCTTTTCCCAGGGCTCTATCCACCCAGGTATATCCTCTGAACTTCCACAGAGAAAGCAGAGCCCTGGCCAGTTTGGCTCAGAGGTTAGAGCATCAGCCCCAAAACCAAAGGGTCATGGGTTCGATTTCTAGTAAAGGGCACGTACCTGGTTTGCAGGTTCAATCCCAGATCTCTATCGGGGTCATGCGGGAGGCGACCAAATGATGTGTCTCTCCCATCCCCCCCCCCACTCTACCCCCTTCTACCTCCCTCTACCGCTCTCCCTCCCTCTCTCTCTCTCTCTTCCTCCCACTCCTTCTGAAGATAATAGAAAAATTTCCTTGGGTGAGGATTAAAAAAACAACAACAACAAAAAACATGGTCTCCAGGGTCAGACACACCAGTTCATGGCCTAGTATTTGGTGTTCCTCTGTTGTGACTTTGTGTATGTTCCTCACATCTCTGTGTATGTTTCCAACTCAAAAGAATATCTAAAGCTCACTGACGTAGGAATTAGGGTAAACACAACTGCTTTGTTATCTAGGGAGAAAAAAGTAGAATGATGTTATCTAGGGAGAAAAAAGTAGAAAAGTAGATCCAAAGCTCACTGACCTAGGAATTAGGGTAAACACAAGTGCTTTGTTATCTAGGGACAAAAAAGTAGAATGATGCCTACAAAATAAGTCTCCCCCATTCATACTGGGGGACATATGGTCCCATAGGATGGGCTGAGAAAACTACCACTACATTTATAGGCTCACAATTCTCCACGTGTACAATGGGCAATGGGACTAAGTGTTTTACAGACTATTTTTAGGAATAAAATAAGTTTATTTCAGTAAATACTTCGCCGACTTTGTGTTTAAATGTATGTGGTCGTTTCAAAATCTTCTGAATGTCTAAAATACATTTTCTATAAACAAAAAGCAAGTATTTGTCTAAAATACTTTTTTTCTCTGCTGTCTGTATAATGTGTTTTATAATACCTAGACTCAACCTTTTCTCATTTCTTTGGCTTAGTGTTATTAAAAAACAGTACAAATTAATTTGCATGTGTTTCTTATCTTTTCTAACTTCACTATTTTGTGAATTGCCTATTATTGTCCTTCGAATATTTTTCTGCTTGGTATTTAACTTCTGCTATTGGATATTTGGATATATACAATAATATTTTATTATTTAGCTATTTTCTTTTACATTTCTATTTATACTTAATTTTATAGTTTGAAACAAAATGGATTAGGATGCCAAGTTATTTCCCTGGTTAAAATCTTCTATTTTTACCCCCTCAAATGGGAAAAAAGGACTTTATATCTGATGTAGAAATTACCAGGTATCTAAGAGCCTAAATAAATATCATAGACACAGTAAGTACAGTCACAGAAAGTAGTAAGTACATTCTCAACATCTGAAACTGTCTCTTCCTTGAAAGCAGACTGTTCCTTACTCCTGGGTATGTAGCCAATATTGTGCATATTTTCTGGTAAACTGTGGACACCACAATTGTCTGGTAATGGCACACATTTTCTTGTGAACTCTTGGGAATACACACAGAAGTCTCTAACGGTGCATACCCTTCGCTCTGACATTTACATTCCTAGGGATATTTGTAGAAAATAATTAAGCAGTACATTTTGAGAGCTCTATCTCCAAATATTAGCACAAATCTCCTACTTGTCTCCATCTGCAACACTAACAAGCTAGTGTAAAACACTACAATTCATGAGCAAATATGCTGTCACTGTTGCTTGTGTCTTTGCTTCTAGCCCTTACCTTCCACATGGTCCTAGAAACGTGAAGTAGATCACGTCTCCCCTGGTTAACATCATCCAAAGGCGTCATCACTCTTAGAATAAAACACAGACTTCCTACCTTGGCCTTTAAAGTCCTGCATGACCCGGACTCTGCACACCTCGTTGATCTCACCTCGTGCTACCTCTTCTCTCCCTCACCTGAAGGCACGAAGCCCACCCCCGCGAACCCTTTCTCTGTTTTACAAATACTCCAAGCTCTTGCAGCTTTGCCAACTTCTGTCTTAGTGACTGACAGACTGGAAAAGCTAGGTCCCTAAGTATGGTTGGCTCTTCCTTGGGACTCAGAGCTCAACTAGAAGGTCAAACAAATGGGCCCTTCCCTGAGCGTCATACCCCATCCCCTGCAGGCCCTGTAACACCCACCCCCTCCCTCATTTATACTATGTTTATAGTACTGACTATTTTTTCTCAACCACTCATTTATTGGTTTTCTTTGAATTTTTTTAATCTCTCTCAATTAGAAGGCAAGTGTCATGAATATAGGGTTTTCTCAAACTTGTTCATCACCGTATCTTCATGCCCAAAAGAGAGCTTAGCATATAATAGCAATAAAAATCTATTTAACTGAAACATGTGAAAGAATCAAAGACAATACATAGAACTTTATCTCCCCTAAATACTTATTACTGCATTAGCAATATAATTAATAAATTGGTCAAGACCATCAGCATGAACCTGAGTAAATAAAACACAGTACGAATACTGGACGGAATAGATGCAGGAAATAAAGTATCAGTTTGAAAAAGATTTATTGACATGAATAGATGTTCTCAACGCAGTATTAATATTTTATATTATTCTATATGATCTTTTTAGAAAGAATACTACAAAACAATATGTACATTGTGATCCCATTCTGGACATAACACATCTATATGGTAGAAAATGTGTCTAAAAGAAAATATAAATATGAACAGTGGTCTCTCTGTATGGTAAGATGACAAGTGATGTTCAATCCTTTTTGTTAATCTACATGTCTTTTCGTTTTATAAAAACAAATACTTTTTGCAACAAAAACAATACACACAAAGAACTCCTGGTTGACCTGAATTATAAAACTAGCATCTAACATCCGATTGTCTTTACTCTGCACATTTAGGAGCTCAGCATGAAGGAGAGGACATGGAGTCACAAAGAATGGAAAACCCTCAGCCTTTTGGCTTGTTGTTAACAAAGCTCACATCTCCCTTGTATCGATCAAGGGGTTTTATCTGGAAAAACACACAAGAAGTAAGAGCTTTAAGTGGTCAACTGTTTTTCTCTTTTCCAGGGAAGTTCACATTTAATCCATCAATTAGAAGTAAAAATCCATCCCTATTTTCCCTCCTAAGTACCAAAAAACAGGAGATCCCAGGATCTTCCTCTGCCACTAACTCCAGTCCACTGTTAGGAAATAATCATTTTACTTCTAACATAAAGGCTTCGAATCTGTTTCTTGTTTAATACTCAGGGAAGATGGATGTGCAGGTGTGCCCCGCCCCCCACACCTATTCATTCTAGAGTTAGCTCTAAGAGCATTCTCCATATTGCAATAGATGTTCTGGTCAGCAGGTTGGCCTACAAAACCTTTCAAAGAGACTCCATTTGTAAAGTCCGACCTTCAGGGCTCCTCACAGCCTCCTCTCCACA